AAACCAGTGAGAATGAGCTACAACAAAACCTTAAACATATTGGACAAAAGCCAATAGGAACACACCATTGTCAGGATCTATAGCCTGTGTGTCGGTGGGAGCGGATACCCTCTCAATGTGGACCTCCCCGTTTTCTGCCTTTTCTTTCTGGGTTCAGATTTTTTCCTTGCTGATCCTTGGTCTGGTAGAGCCTTGTGAGGTCTAACTAAAAGGCCAGTGGTGATGATCCAGAAGATTCAAAACCATTTATGGACATGGTAATTAATTTTCCCCTTATGGACCAATACCAATGTGTTTGATTCGCTGATCTTTGTTGGCAAATTCAAGTCCTCCGAGATAACTACTGTCATGATTTAGGGCTATACAAGAATACATTTAATTGAATTGAAATACTGCAGAGAGTGAATAGTTATTACATTGTATTACATGTATTATTGTCCTAATTGCGTCTACAGTTCCTTTAAGGGCTGTGGGCTCCATTCTCAAATCGAGCTCTTAGAATAATTCATGACTCTTCTGGCAGGACATCTCGCACGCTATCATCTTCATTGTTATAAAAGTTGTAGTGTGTATTTATTAGGTAGTTGCAACACATTTTGCAATTGTAGTTCTAGGGAGAAGTTCTAAGTTCAAATAAGGCCTCACTCTCGGCCCGTAATTAGCCATGTTTTCCATCCCGTCCAGTTTGGACCGAAGACAAGAGCAGACTTCTGCAATCCGCCTGAACACAGCAGCAGTTTGAGATCAGCATACTTGAAAAGAATATCACATCTAGTAAATAGAACTAAATAAAACTTAAATTGCCTTCTTGTTTCTCCCACACTGAGACACAAGTCAAGGTTTCAGTCATAGATGCATTCTTTTGTCTCTTTGATCAAATATTGACCATGCTGTACTGTACAACACACTGCTTCAAGTCTTTTTATGTATTTGTAGATATTTTGTAAAACAGGACTTGGAGAAATATGCTGAGGGTTGGAGATGAGTGGCAAGACAAACAGTCTGGATGTGTGTGTGTGTGCATGTGTATATATTGTAGAGGTACAGTAGATACAGACACACAGGCACTATACTGTATGCACAGAGAGACACAGGTGCATATAGACACGGGTGAAACAGGTACAAACTATAGACACACAGTTACACACAAGAGGGCGGGGCAGACAATCAACAAGGGAACAAGATAGGAAGCAAAAGTACAACAAAACCAGAGAACTGAAGTCAAGTAAGTAAGTAATTAAAGTAATCGTTATTTATATACCGCCTTTCACAGACCAGAGTCACAAAGCGGTTTACAATTGTTGTAAGCATTTGTCTCTCACTCCACACAGAGATGTTAGCGAGGTTGTCAGTACAGGAGGCGTGTGTGTGTGAGTGGATAGCCTCTCAGCAAGGTCCTGGGTTCGAATCCCGGTTGGAACAGGATCTTTCTGAGTGGAGTTTGCATGTTCTCCCCGTATCTGCGTAGGTTTCCTCCGGCCACTCCGGTTTCCCCTACCACTAAAAACATGTGCAATAGGTCTGGCATGCGCCTCCTGTACTGGCGACCTCGCTCCCATCTCTGTGTGGAGTGAGAGACAAGTGCCCAAAAAAAAACAATTGTAAAACCGCTTTGTGAGTCTGGTCTGTGAAACACGGTATGTAAATAAAGATTACTTACTATTGTACAGACCTATTGTCAAAATAAAACCAAGTACAAAAATAAAATACACACCATGAGAGAATTGATCTATCTTGTTTTGCACATTGAGTTGCTTTGTGTATGAACTGTGCTATAAACTTGCCTTGTGTTTTCCAATTCATGTTTTTTTATGATTAGAATTTGATATTATAATGATACAAGCAAACCATGAATAGCAGGCCGAGAATAGCAGAGCAGTTTAGTGCATTCTTTCATCAACTTCCAAACCTCTGCTTTCTTTTTCTCGAATCCGCAGGGATCAGATTAGTGCTTGAGCTAATTCTATGTAGATGTTCAGTTTTCACTCGGTCGAGCCTGAGATAACGTTCGGTATTTTTCTCTCCACTGTAATCGGGGTTGGAGTGAGGCTGCTCTATCATCCAATCTCAGACCACAAAGTGTGCACAAGAAATGGACTTTCAATTCATGTCCTGTTTACACACACTCTCTAAGTGCTTGAGAGGAGCATTTCCGAAAAGCATAATCCATCATTCTCTGTAATTCCATGCACCAATTTTGAAAACCTAACAGCTGTAGAAATACACAGAGAAATTGCATGTTAAAGTGTAGGGCTATTACAATACATGCAATGAATTATTCCAAATTATCATGACTAATGTAGTAATAGATTTTTTTTTTCTTTTGTAAACTTTAAAATGCTGAGAAGAGGTTTCATGACCCAGATAATTGTATATTGTACCAGTGGGCGGCACAGTGGCTGTGTGGCGTTTGCATGTTCTCCCCGTATCTGTGTAGGTTTCCTCCGGTTTCCAGTGCCACTGAAAAGATGTACAATAGGAATGAATGGTGTTGAATGGGAGCTTTGATGCTCCAGGGTGTTGACGTCTCGCTTCCGTCATCACCATGTGGAGAAAATGTATAGAAAATGTGGAGAGATGTATAAAATATGTCATTATTTTCCCTCAAACGGGCCACACTTGAATAAAGGACGCAGGTTTTCATGCCGTAATGAAACACTTAACACTAGGAGCGCCCCTAGCGGTCAACTGACCGTCACTCACTTTATTATGCTAATTAGTGTATTCAAAACAAAACGCCAGAAGTTGAAATTTTATGACTTTTACTGGGTACTTGTGGTTTATATTTTGGTGTGTTTTGGTTTTGGAAAAAGTAAAGAAAACAAGATTTACACGCATTTTTAACTTTTCTAAACCACAGCCCTTTCTGCTGCCCCATAGGGATACATGGCGCAGGGGCGACTGTTGTCATAGTAACCTTTCCCGGGGGTTTTCGCGCCTTATAAAAATGTATCAATATGTTGTCATTAGACTCTAAAGGGACTTTTTTATTATTATTTGGGAGAGAGAGGAGTACAAAATGAATAGAGCTGCAAGTACACGGTATGAAGCCCTGACAGTGCTTCAAAACATTGAATGAGAACAGTCTGACGGAGGTGAGATGTCACATTTTGAGGCAGAAAGTGACAGCGGGGAGAACACCTATAATATTCTAAATCTGAACGTAAACCCATAGTGCATTCACGGCACAGACAGCAGTGTTGTAACAAGTCCAGAAGCAATAACTCACATGACCCTCGTAATGCCAGCCATACGCAGTGTCTGTGTGCGCGCTGTCGCTCCATTCTGCCTTTTCATTCATCATCAATTACATTATTATATTTATACATACAAGAAGGCAATAAAGCAGAATACAATATCGCAATAAAATAGAACAATTAGATGAACTATCAAGGCAGAGTGCAGATCAGAGTGCTCGTCACCCGCGGACACTGCAGGAGGAGAGCGACTGTGGCAGAGGCGGCCCTCATATATCAATAAGGATATAATTCTGATTTCATCCAGATAACACTGTGTGTTATTCTGCACAGCGCGCACTGCAAGGCAATGATTATAATTTTGTTCTGAGCATAAAGAGCACTGCTTGTCTCAAATAAATACAAATATATATATGCATATATTTGTCTTTCTAACGTGTCCCGTGTAAAATTGAAGATTTTAAATTGACGATGGTAGCCATAGCTGATGATCTTGTGTCAATACGAATACTATTATTATTATCTAGATAATATTTCCCACGGTGATTTCGGCCTCTAAAGAGAAAACAGTCTGGAGATGACGTAAGAAGTAGACGCATATAGCAGCGCGAAGACGTTATGGTCCCGTGCTTTTCTAAACTATAATTTATATTGTTTGAATTTACATATTGTTACTGAGTCAAATATAACATATAGTGACCAACCTTTTAGGTGTTTGCAAAGTTACAAAAATAAATCTAGCCAGAAAAGTCATCGTAATTTTGATGGATCAGTACACGCACAATGTGTCGTCTTAGTCTTTTATTTCGGCTAGAATTACAATTACTTAGCATATTTAGACAAATAATTTACACAGTTTCATTATGATCACGATTCCTTTGCAACATCAAGTTCTGGTTTAGTGAACAATCAATTTGGCAAAAGGCTGTATCAGCGCAAAATACATAGCGGTCAACTGACCGCAGGGGGCGGTGCAAGGTATGTTTAGAGCACGGCGGTCCTAGTGTTAAGTAACAGCTGGTGGAGCAAAACAAAGCTGATAGACGGCTGCTATGAAGCTAAAGCAGAAATTCAGACTGGAAGTACTAAGCTTCCCACTGTCACTAACGGCAACAGCCATTAAATATTCTCCTCAGAGTCGTATTTGTCAGATTACTGCCAACCAATGTACAATTCTAATAATACCCATGTTTTGGCTGTTTGAATCTCTCCAGAAGGAATTTACAGGACAAAAAAGCATTTAATGAAGTGTTAAAAGTCACTGTTGACTCGTCATGATCCAAGCCCTCGGGTTAATCCAATATTTTGACAAATTGTGAGACAGGCTCCTTCTCTGACAATGTTCAAATCCAGGCAAATAGTCTTTTTAATGCACTGTGATTATTTATGATTGTAACCACTTGTATTGTTTCTATCTTTTGTCAAGCACACAGGAGTTGCTTAAACAAAAAACCCAATTGACTCCCTTTTTCAAGGGAGTCCTGGCAGCAAACTTACACATAAACACAACAGACGGATACAAGTGCTTTAAAATGACAGGTACACACATCAAGTAAAACAATTACAGGTACCAGTACTTGATGGAGTCAAAATATTAAGTCAAAAGAGTTCTAATCCGTCAATATCACTGTGAAGCGGCCTAACCGCGTCTACCCCTAGGTGGGAGCTGCTTTAGGACCAGTTAAGAGGCACCTACCTTTTTTCACATAGGGCTGCGAACACCCACACGAGGTCCTCAGGGTTTAAAGTCCTCTTCCTTGGGCCCTCATGTTGTAGTTTATTATTCTGCCCAGATCCAGCCTTTTAGTCAGCGCGGTCCCCACGGAGCAAACCATGAGCTGGCTCCATGCAGTCCCTGTAGCCTCCGAGCGATTCCGTCCTGTGGGACAGCCAGGGTGTGTTGGGTCTGCCAAAGCACATTTCCTGGTGTACCTGCAGCTCGTCGCCCCAACATTGAGAAGAAGGTGTGATCTGTGACACCTGAACCGAAGACCCTGTAGGCAAGCAACAAGGGGGAGGTGCATATCCCCAATCCCGCGAGTTCTGCAGTGAATGATCGCCAGTTGTTTTGCAGTGTTCTGTTGAAAACGCTCAACTAGCCCATCGCTCTGAGGGTGTAGTGGGGGTAGTATCGTGTCGTTTGCGGTCCCATACGCTGACCAAATTGCAGACTCCAAAGTTTTCTCGCCTGGTCGCTGTGGATTACTTCAAGTGACCCAAACCTGAAACATTCCTCCACCAGGGTGTCCCTGCCACCACGGCACCCGCTTCTGATTCGGGATGACCAATGCCCAACTGGCCCTTTAGTGAAATAGATCCATGCAGCGAGTACATAACGATTCCCCTGGCTGACAGCCAGGGGAATCGTCCACACAGCCACCTACCTTTCCATAAGGGCCGAGCCCACGGCCAACTCTGACGCTCGGCACGGGATTCTACACTAAGAGGCCCTTAAAAGCAGCGCACAGGTCGCAACGACGACAAAAGGTACTCTACAGCCCTCCTGAGCTGGCCCCGTAAAACCCTTGCCTGAAGTCGACTGATGAGTTTTTGAGAACTCCAAAGTGTCCCCCCAGGAGTACCGTGACAAGCCTTCAGAACAGGGTCTTTGAGTGCTCTGGGGCCGACAGTTTGCCACCATTTACTCTCCCCGGTAGCTGGTTCTTTCACGCTCTTTGTAGTACTCTGTCTTCTTATACGGAGGGTTGTAAACTTTTCAAAAGTCCTTTGGTGCCAAGCGAAAACCCCAGCTAACCGACACACCACTGGGTCCTGTCCCCGATTCAGCCCACTGCAGCACGGTTGCAGATCGGGATCCAGTACCTGCTGAGCTCTCCACTCCAGTGATCTTGGACTCCGCCACTTCACACAGATTGGCCCTTCCCCGAGCTGCACAAGGGACCCGCCTGCGCTCTCACACGGAGCTCCCTGTTCCTTGGCCTCGCCTCGTTTTCACCAATACGGCGCCATCATCAGCACATGGGACGTCTGGACACATGGCACCTCGTTGGCATGGCGACATCCCGCCCTGTACTCCACTTTGAAATTAAATGGTGCAATTTCTTTCCAACCAGCAGGCAATCTGCCCCTCTGGTTCTTAAAGGTCATTAACCATTGAGTTGCTGAGTAATCTGTTTCACAGTAAAGGGGAGGCCACAGAGATAGTACCTGGAAATGCCCTATCGCTCTCCACACTAGCAAGCAACCTCTAAGTTCACGCATAACGCCGCCCGCACTTGTTGAAAGTTATGCTACTTTCATCCCCGTGTGATCCCACCAGTCTCAACACTCGCACGCTTCCCCCGCATCGCTGGCATCTGTGTCCATGACAAATGGCAGATTGGTATCCTGGGGGATTTAAGATGGGAGACTCCGTCAGTGCCTTTTCAAAGTGCAAAAGGCCCGGATCGCACTCTAGGGGCCACACAAAGTCCCACCCAAATTTTTTATATTTCCGCTGTAGGGCAAACAGGGTGCCAGCGATGCAAGAGAAACCGGCGCACGAATCGCCTGAAATATGAGGCTAGTCCAATGAAAGACTTTTCAGTTCTCTGAGGTTAGTGGGGATTGGCCAGTCCCCTCACCACCTGTACCTTTTCCTCCTACAGTGCTGATGCCTTCTCCACCCAAACCTTGTGCCCTAAAACTCCAATTCCCTTCTCATGAACAAGCATTTGTTGGGATGGAGTATTCAGCCCCGGCCACCGCGATACCTTGCAGCACCTGCCGGAGAGAATCGAAGCCCTCTCAAAAGAGCCCCATGGGGCAGAATGTTCGCCAAGTAAAGGCGCAGACATTACTGACTGGGGACAGCACTAGCACATTTTCCATCAGCCTTGTCAAAGTGTCCGGGGGGCATTGCATAGGCCCCGAAGGGGAGGACCTAAACTGCCACAATCCCACTGCTGGTGCAGAAAGCGGTCTTAGGTCTTGCATCGGGGCTCCAGGGGGACCCGGCCATATCCACTGCGCAGGTTAATGATGAAACCAGGAAAGACCAGATACCTTGTCCAAGAACTCATCAATAAACGTGTAGCTGGGTACGAGTCTTCTTATTATGCTATTCAGCGCGGGCCGATAGTCCACACAAAAACGCATTTTTTGATCATTTTCTTGTTTAACATCACAACACCCCAAGCCCAGGGACTATCTGACGGCTACGATAATACCAGCCGCGAGCATTTGTCAATGCGCTATCAGCAGCCGCTTGATGCGCAGAGGAGTCGCGGGGGCGCGTTATTGATCGGATGGCGCATCTCCAGTGTCCTAATTCGTGCTGCCCAAGTGTGTTAGAAACCCACCTCCTCTTCAGAAAGGGAAAAGATGTCTTTGTACTGCAGTAGCACTTGCCATAAAGTTCCCCGCTGACTGGTTTCAAAAGGGGTGCAGTTACGTTCCCCAAAATCCCCCTCTATTAACGGCCCGAACCACCTGTCCATGTATCTCTTACGCAGGTAATTGTTCCAGTGCAGAGGTAGTAAGCGCCATTGCATGTTCGGTTGGTGGGTACTGGAAGCAGAAAGCAGGGGTAGTGGCACGTAATTCTGGTGCCACCTGTGGCTGCTTCAAGACGCCTGCTTTAAACTTTGGACATGATCAGGGCACCATTTCAACTGAGGGGCTTATTCCCGAAATTCACAGGTGTTATTGCCAATATCGAGCACCACAGTTAGACGGCCCTCAAAAGTCCAGACCCAAAATACAGGGTCCTTCACTGCCCGACCCACACCCTAAAATCCACAGACCCAAATACGGATTCATTTCCCCACTTGGTATAGTCACTATCCCCGATCAAAGCATAGAGCGAGTTACACCATGACAGACCGTCCCGCAACTTTACAACAGTATTGTTCTAGTAAATGTCCCCGGTAGGCCCCATGTCGGATCTCATTAGTGTTTGCCAGTGAACCCGTGTCAACCAGGCTGTGCATGGCCCTGTTCAAAGTAACAGGACATACCAAAATTCCCGAATTGCTCCAGCGTAGACCACCACCCTCGAAATTCCGATGTCGCTGTCATCTGCTTCTGTGGGAGGGAGCCCGGCTCCCCAGACTAGCGTGTTGGGGCCCCGTACAACATGTGCCACGATAGGGGAGGGACACAGGGGCTGGGGGACTGGTGTGGGCCCTTTTACACAGACCCCGAGCGTTTCCCGACCGCCCCCGAGTTCTGGGGCACCCGCGCACACTGATATGGCCTGCCTGCCACACGTCCAGCACACTGGAGGGCCACGGCCGTTGGGCGGGCACCCGCCCACTTGCGTTGGTGGTTGTAACGTCACAGCTTGGATCAGTTCTGTCAGCCTCAGCACCCAGGCCAGGCCTCTCTGAGCTGAATCCTCGCCGCACTGCGGTATACTCACAAAATGGGGCCAATCTCAGACGCGAACCTACGGCCTCTCCTTCTAGGCGAGCTCCCAGTGCCCTCCTGCAGGAATCAGGATGGTGCCAGCTGTGTCTGTGCGCAAAGTCCTCTGAGGAGCCAGCACGAATAACTGGTCCCTGGCCACGACACTCTGTACTCAGGGGCAATGGGTCGTTAAGCTCGTCTTGTCAGGGTTCTCAATATCGTTAGCCAACGCCCTGAGTGGCTCGCCTGCAACCTCAGTTGGCTACCAGCTCTGAGCGCAGGACATCGGTTGGCTACATTGTCCAAACACGCCTCCGAGGGCCCCAACCAAAGCCCCATAATCATCTCTCTCAGCTGGGCTTAACAGCAATAAACATGACAGTGCATCATCAGTAAGGCACAGAGCCAGCCTGGAGAGTGCGTCTTTTACTTTTACAGACCAGCCAGCTGCCCAGCCAGGAGTCAATTGGAGGCATAGAAGGCCTCCCAGTCTGCTTTCCCTGAATATTTCGGAGTTCCTTAACTTCAGTCGTTCCCTGCCGCCATTTCGTTTCGTCTGAATTTGGTGACCGGTCAATCATCCTCAACACCTCAGACTATGAAGGCCAAAGTTAATCAGTTACTCTTTGACACCAACACGTACCAGCCATTGAAGAGGGACCCTACCAGTGGGTTTAGGAAAAAGATTATAGACTTCCTTCAGAGCTTAATGAAAGAGGGCATTATTGAAAAACCACTATATTACAGACTTTACCCAGGAGACACCATCCCCAGTATTTATGGACTCCCAAAAATACACAAACAAAACTTTCCACTTCGGCCTATTGTATGTAGCATAGACTCTATCACCTACAACCTGGCTAAACACCTCAAAACCATTCTGGCTCCGTTGGTGGGTAACACCCACCATCACATAGAAAACACAAAAGAATTTGTAAATAAAATCAAACAGCTCCAGTTTGACACAGATGAGACAATGGTCTCGTTTGATGTGACATCGCTTTTTACGTCGGTCCCTATTACAGAGGCGGTGGAGGCTGTAAGAGAAAGCCTACAGAAAGACGCCACACTAGGGGAGAGAACGAAACTAACAGCTGACCACATCTGTGAAATACTTGAAATGTGTCTTAACACCACGTATTTCCAATTTAGAGGCACCTTCTTTAGACAGATTCGTGGCTGTGCGATGGGCTCCCCAGTCTCTCCTATAGTGGCCAATCTGTATATGGAGAAACTGGAGGAACAAGCCCTGGGCTCTTACCAAGGGACAGCGCCAAGCCATTGGTTTCGATATGTAGACGATACATGGGTTAAGTTAAAGAAACAGGAAGTGGAACCATTTTCAGCACACATTAACTCGGTGGACCCTTTTATAAATTTCACTCGCGAGGATGCTAAGGAGAGTGAACTCGCCTTTCTAGATTGTAAGGTCATCATACTGTAGAACGGACAATTAGAGACTGAGGTCTTCAGAAAGTCCACTCACACTGACCAGTACTTGGCCTTTGATTCAAACCATCCGCTACAACACAAACTCAGGGTCATTAGAACGCTTCAACACCGAGCCCACCAGGTCCCCACTAGCTCGGAAGGAAAGAACAGAGAAACCAAACATGTTCAGAGAGCACTTTCCAGATGTGGCTACCCCAAGTGGTCTTTTACTAAAGCCCAAAGGACGAGAAAGGCCAGAGACACAGTCCAACAGACAGAAGAAAGTAGGAGGAGAGGGGTGTCCTTACCGTATGTGGCGGGAGTTTCAGAGAAACTACAAAGAATCTTTAGGCAACACAAAATCCCTGTGTATTTCAAACCTTTCAACACGTTAAGACAGAAATTAGTGCATCCCAAAGACAGAACACCCAGACACAAACAGAGCAATGTGGTGTATTCAATTAAATGTAGTGAAGAGGAGTGCACTGACCACTATATTGGAGAAACCAAACAAACTCTACAGAAACGACTTCACCAACATCGTAGAGAAAACTCTAGTGGGCCACAGTCGGCTGTTCATCTCCACCTCAAGGTCTCCAACCACACGGTGGATGACACAGAGGTTAAAATTCTGGCTCGGGAGAAGAATTGGTTTGAGAGAGGGGTGAAAGAAGCCATTTTTGTGAGGAAACAAAAACCTTCTCTTAACAGAGGAGGAGGGTTAAGATTTGTTTTGCCTCGCATCTATGACGACATCCTAAAAACAACGCCCTAACTTGGGACAAGGTCAGTGACATGCTAATGAGTTAGGAGGGGTGAGACCTGCACTCCACTTGAGCATCCCAGCAGACAATAGGTCTGTGACATGCTAAGGAGTTAGGGTCGTTAGCCTCAGCAGGGTCGTTAGACCTGCTCCCTTCTACATCAAGCAGACCTTAGATTGTTTATAAGTTAGTATCAGGATTAGGGTGTGGCTTACCACACCCATAGTTATAAATCTCCAACGCGCGGTCCGAGAATTCCTTCCCTGAAGAAGTCCGCTAGGTTGAGGACGAAACGTCGGGAAAACTTGCTAAGAAGTACAGATGATGGGTGAGAAACCTTCCTTTGCTTTGACTAATCCCTGTACGACTGAGGGCTTACACAAAGCTGTAAGATATGTAAACCAAAAAAACTCAGAAAACAAAGAAAGAAAACAACATCTTATATTCATATACATCATATCATTATAATGTATTTATCGATGTCAATAATAAATATATAATATAATTACATCAATAATGCGCACTCTTCAGCCCGGTGCTGGCTCTTGTGAGCGCTGCATCTGCGTCTCCTCCTATCTTTGTGTAATGCACTTTCAAGCCCAGACTCTGAACACACACATCACTCGTAGATCACGTAGATCAGTGATACAAAGCTACATTAGCTGTGTCGGGGACGCATTTTCGTAACATTCCGCTAAAATAATGCGTCTTTTACGCATCAGTAATTAATAGTTACCTAATGTAACTTAAGTTCTACGAATAGGTGCGTAGTCCCTTAGGACTTCGCTAGTGGGATATCACTCGTGACCCCCAGGTCACACGCCAGAGAGATCAAAATAATTTGCTCCAATCACCAGCCACCCTCCTCTATAGGGTTGGGCACCGAGAACCGGTTCCTATTTGGAACCGGTTCCTAAAGTGCGGTTCCGGAACCGTTAAGAAGACGTTTGTATTTTGATTCTTTTTTCGATTCCTACCCACTAAGCAAGCCGACGTTGAATCAACGTAATTTGAACGTCGTTGTCCGACGTAGAATATAGGTCACTGGTGGGTGCAGAATGAAAGTTTTCTCGACGTCGTTTCCCGACGTCACCTCAACCTCCAAATGTTACGTTGATGGCACGTCAATTCAAGGTTTGAATGTGGTACGGAACCAGTCGGGTCTGACGTCCTATCAACGTCTCATATGACCAAAATATTGACGTTTATATGACATTCGTTTTCAGTCGTTCCCACTAAGCAAGCAGATGTCAAAACTATGTCATTTCAACGTCATCTGGACGTTCATTCAAGGTTGCAATGTGGTACAGAACCGGTCGGGTCCGACGTCCTATCAACGTCTTATATGACCAAAATATTGCCTTCATATGACGTTCGTTTTCCGTTGTTCCCACCAAGCAAGCAGATGTCAAAACTATGTCATTTCAACGTCATCTGGACGTTATCTGGACGTTCAAATGACGTCGCGGCCACTTCATACAAGGTTGCAATGTGGTACAGAACCGGTCGGGTCCGACGTCCTCTCGACGTCTTATATGACCAAAATATTGACGTTTATATGACGTCCATTTACAGTCCTATTGACATACTTAAGCTCTGCAGAATCACTCACTGGTCGAGACATACTTTTTGCAATAGGCAAGGCAAGTTTATTTGTATAGCACAGTCAAAACAAAAAGAAACTCAAAGCACTGAACAAAAGATAGAAACAATCAAACAAGGCATTACAATTATAAATATTGACAGTAAATTAAAAAGATACAAATAAAATCTCTCATAAAATCTCTCAGTTGAAGCGGAAACAGAAGTGTTTTAAACCTGGAGTTTAACATTGTCAAAGAAGAAGCCTGTCTCACATTTCCAGGAAGACCGTTCCAGATTTTAGCCTTGTGAATCTGAAATGCAGCTTTATCATGTTTAGTTCTGACTCTGGCCAATAAACGATAAACACAGCATTCAAAAATCATTAGAACAACTGTAGTAGAAGGATATCAGTCATTATTGCAAATGGAGCTGCATTAAAAATCATGTTTCTCTACATCAAAGTACAAGTTAAACCAAACAGGGCACAGTGTTATGAACACTACTGTACTGAACAGTTCATGCCAAAGTAAAAAAACATGATTGTAGCGCCTATGTTTGGATCAGTATTAAAACAGGCACAAGCTACACTCTAGGTTCCCCAGATGTAAAAACACAATCTGAAAGGCAGAAGAATGCATTTATTGAATGTTGAGGTTCCAGCATGTGTCCTCTCTTGGTCTTCAGTCTCTCATCACAAGGTCCAAGCACAGCACCTGAAAATGTGGAACATGTTTAGTTTCAACATAATGTGGCAAAGTGATATAACAACACATAACTTTCTATTAATGCCTCAAACCACTCGATCCATCACCATGTGATACAAACCTTGGCACTGCACTAGCTCGAGACACTGGAAGACACTCCGTCTGAGAAACTTGGGATAAGGCTTTGGTCATTGGAGTAATTCCATGTAAAAAACAATTGCAAATGTGCATTTGTTTTGCACATGGACAAAATGAGCCCTGAAAGCTACTTACGCTGTATTACTCTACACATGTTGCATTTCCGAGGGGGCATTTTCCCCTTGTTGCTCTTTTCCCTCATCTTGAGTGAGTTGCTGAACAATCTGAGAAAAAGATAGATGTTTTCAAAGAGAATACACCAAATAATGGTTTATTCTAAAAACAACATAATAATACAGAAGAACAATCAATGTGTGAGAGTGTGATTCTTACCTTTGAACACCTTCAACACAGTCTGACACATGTAAGACTCAAACACACATGACACATTAGGAATACACACAGAACATTAGTTATTGCAACAATCATGAAATTATACTCTATGGATTTCACAATAATTGACTGCATTAGCAAAGGTAAATGTATTTTAATTAACATATGGCTGGTTTTAAAGTTTATAAGAAAAAGTAAGAAATTGAATAGAGTTGCAAGCGCTAGTTAGCTTGCTACCAGCAGATGAATGGATATTTAATATTTGCAGCTAACAATAACAAAAATAACAACTGTAGTGGCTCATTTAAACAGCCACAGTGAGAAGAAGTGAAAGTCTCTGACATTGAAGACCTGGGAAGACATTAAATCAATTTATTAAACAAAGCAATACATGAACATTAAACTCTCTTTCTGCAGCAGGTAACATCTGTGTGCTCCTATGGTCCCACATGGTCCCACATGGTCCCACACCTGAACTCAACTCCAACTGATGACATCACAGGTGTCTAAATGATGGGAGTG